TAAAAAAGTACTACATTCAGAACAAGATTAGAATTAATATTTTAAAATCAAAACTTCCATGTCTCCACCATGGCCTCTCTGCTGTTCGCTGATTTCATGTGTGTTTTTGTGTGTGTAGGAGCTCACAGAGAGCAGGATTCCAACACAGACTCGTTGTTCACGATGTAACGTTGAAAGAATTGGGCGCATTGACAATGTGTTTTCTGCATACTTTTGGATTTTAAGATAAGATAAGAAAACCTTTATTTGTCCCACAGTGGGGAAATTGCGGATCATCAGAGATGCAGGACACAGACCTGTCAGCATCACTACAGCTTCCAGCACACCTGAATGCATGAGTTTCCTTTAGGTGCGCGTGTTTCCCCACTCCATCAAAAATATGTTCGGTCTTCCAGTCAGTGCCGTTGATCAGTGCCACTGGCATAAATCTGGAGTTGGTCTAGGGGTGCTGTACAGTGGCTGCCCACTGCTCCTTTAAGAGATGGGTTAAATGCACAGAATGAATTTTGCTATGTGTATGTGAAACATTTTACAGCTGAAAAATGAAGATGCATGTAATGTAAAATATAAATTGAATTACTTTTTGTTTACTTTTCTAACTTTCTAATGGATGTTTTCAACTGTTAACCATTTTCAAACTGTCACGATCTCGGGTTTGAGTGTGGTGTTTTTCTGTTATTTTGTTAATGTCCCTTTCTGTTTTACTTGTTGCTTCTGTGTTCTTGTTTAGGTTTTGTTGGTTGATTATTGCTCCCCTGTTTTCTGTTGTATTTAGTTACATATATCCTTGTGTATTGTCTGTAGCTTTACTTCCTGTTTTATTTTGTAATTCTAGTGATTGGTGTTTTTGTTTAGCTTAGTTTCCTGTTTGCTTGATTCCTTATGTGTCTCACCTGTGTTTAACTGCCCTGCCTGCTTGTGTGTGTATGGTGTGCACCTGTATATTGCCCTCAGTTGTATTCAGCCCTTGTGGTGGTGTCATTGAGTGTTCTGCTGTACTTTGTTCCCTGTGATTTGGATTATATCTGCCTGTTTGGATTTTGATTTCTGCTGTAAGTGTAAGCCTGTAAATTTCTGTTGGACTTTATTGAGTATCATCAACTGAACCTGCTTTGCTCTGGTGTCCTGCATTTGGGTCCACACTCAGTATTCCTGCCTCAGCACTCAGCTAACCCTGATGAGAACCAATCAAAAACATCAAAAAAGCATCAAATGTATCAGCAAACTACTGCTGTGGCTGGAAATGGCAAAGGAAGACATTGTGCACTTGAAAAACAACACAATGATTATTAATAACATAGCCAAACTTTTTACAGAAAATAACTGATGTTCCTGATGTAACCTCCAATGTAATCATGAAGTGACATTTTTCTCAAGAAACTGTAATGGATTACATGCAACTACAAGTTAGTAAAATAAAAAGCCTTAGACTCCAAAGATGTCTATGAAGATTCTCAGTCATCCAGGTCATAGTTAAACTTAGACTCCAAAGTCACAAAATCAAAGGATCAAATTGCTGGTTTTCTGTGGAGCATAAATGTGCTCAGTTGACATTCCTTCTGTATGAGACGGATGTGGAATCATCCTCTGGGGACCATAAATATTACTACATTTCATAGCAATCCAGCCAGTATGGACAGACCCATTGCTGCTGAAAAAGCTGACGTGATGACAAGCTGGTTATTTCTCTGAAAAAGTCTCTGCAAGTTAATTTTCATAGTTTACAGTAAAGACTGAACTCAAACATATGAAACAGTGTTTTGTAGCAGCATAAACTATAAGTGTGTCTGATTTGAACTTCTTTATTTCCCAGATTGAACTCCCAGTGGAAACAGTAACAGCCTCGACTCCACAGTCCCAGGAGTCACGTCGGGCCCACAAGAACCCGGTTCATACTAAACTGTTTGTGGAGCCTTGGAACGAGCTGCCAGACATCACATTTGCCTCTCCTGGTGGCAGGGGGCAGCAGGGCCCTGGTGTGACCTCCATCCTCAGATTCCACCTGACTGGCTGTATGAGGCAGAGAGCAAACAGGCTCCTATGAGCCGCCCTCCACCATCCCTGACAGACTCTTCGGTGCCAGGTAAACAAGAAAAACAACATCTGATGAATACCACTGATGGTTCCAGAGACACGCCTATGATACATCACACCCAACAGTATATCATCATTTTGATTGCTTCCTGTTCTAAAGCCACATGACAAAGTGATGATGGGAAATCTCAGGTTGTGCAACACATTCAAAGGCGGCCTATCACATCTTGTTTTTTTCAGCGTTTGTTTTGTTAAGAAATCTTGCAGCCACCCATTCTCAGATAATTAACTTTGCCAGTCATGGAAATGAACAATGAAAAATAAAACTGAACACACCCTTTGAAACAAAACCTTTTTTGTCCGCTCCTTTTATTTGACAGCTATAGTTACGTACTTTTCAGATCCAGCAGATCAACGCTGCAGCAGAGTGAATGCAATACTGCTCCGATTCTCCAGCTAATCTCCCGCTCCATTGTCCACTCACTCACGAACCAGACTCCCTCACTTGGGGTAACGACTCATTCCCTACCTGGAATGAGCACTCCATCGGTTTCCTGCTTAGAACCATGGCCTCAGATTTAGACGTGATAATCCTCATCCCGGCCTCGAGGGCCAAATTATAATGGCTAGACAACTGAGTTAGAGCATTTCCAGAACAGCCTGCAGTGGTCAGTGCCTATCAAAAGTGGTCCAAGGAAGGAAAAGCTGTGAACCGGCGGCAGGGTCATGGGTGTTTGTGCGCGTTTGAGCACGTTTTGTGCTGGGGCCCTAATAAGACAGTAGACCTGTACAATCTTCGTCAATTTTTGATCAAAAACATACATGAGTTCTGTGAAGGAAACCCTTGTTGTCTTTTCTAATTTAATATGAAAAGAATGTATTTGCACCAGTTGTTGTAGAAAGGAGGTGAAGAGGGTTCCAGACAGAGGGACAACTACAACACTGGCAGCAACATCGTCCTTTAAAAAGCAGCAATATGTGTCATTATTTCTGCATATCACACTTGTTGACCAACTGAACGGAACAATACCTGACCTAATTTGGGTGCCCAGTTGGCATGGTTTCATTTGCAAATGGAAACACATGCAGGGTAAAACCAGGTTGTATATCTGATGTCCTCTGTTTGAACTTTAACCTTGTTTACAGTGTTTGTGTTCTCTGAAAGACATCACAGCATGGATATTAAGTCACGAAGCTTTTGCCCTTTCAGATGAAGGGTGCAGTCAGCCTCTGGAACCAGTTCCCTGTTGACAGTACATAGTCAAGTGGTACTATGACCCCGAGGCCAATGCCTACGCACAGTTCTACACAGACACACACCCTTTTGGGTGTATGCAAAGCCAACACGCTCTATCAGCGTCACTGAGGAAAAGAATGGACTAATGACGCACGCTTTACTGTTTAACCAGAGTTCAGGCCAGCAGCTGCTGCTGTGGTCACACTCTGTAAACTGCTGCAGGTGAAGGACATGATGGAGAGTAGACCTGGACCTCCTCCCTGTCTCTCAGGCTACGTTCACACTGTAGGTGGTCCTGCTCAATTCTGAACTGCTGCACATGTACTAGCTGTCTGATCATTTTGGACAACTACTTATATCTGCTCTGGGGTGTGTAACCACTAAAAACCAATACCAACTGACAGAAGCATCAAAAGACTGGTTCAACTTTGCACCCCAAATGCAAATCATTTTATTTTCACTTTTCCTTTTATTGTTGGATAGTTGTTCTCCGGGCTTACTCTGGAAAACCAGGGGCATGTGTCACAAAGCAAGTCCAGCTTGGTCTCTTTGGTTTACCTGTCTTCACCAGGTAACATTGGCGATTCTGGGTGAACCAGTAACACAAAGCTGGTTATCAACTGGCTCAGTTAAATCTGATCTTTCCATTCCAGCTCTAAGCACGTTCATGTGAAAGAGGTCTTGATTGCAAGCCGTCACATTCACCTTTCTAACTACCCTGAGTACTTACTCTAATATGATGTGAGATGAACCACAAGCAGAATTACACAATATACAGGTGCATCACAAAAATTTTGAAAGAAAAAAATTAAATTTTTTAAGCTGCACCTGTACACTTTTGAAAATATCGTTTTTTTTCTATTATATTCTATTATTCTGAATGTTGTCTCATCATTAAAACATTCTTATCATCAGATTTCCCCCTGACCACTAACAGTGGTCATACTGTTTTATTAGTAGTTTTAAAGATTTAGTTGACTTAATATCAACCACTAGCACAAAGACTGGAAACAAAACATGCAGCCATGCCATAATATTTATTGGTTAGGTGCATGAGCTTCCTGGAATCTCCACTGACTGCCTTGTGACTGGTACTGGAAATAGTCCGGCACATAAACCCCAGTAAAGCACTTTAATCTGTACATAAACTGTTTTATAAACAAAAAAGACAGAATGTGTTAAAGGTGAACTTTAAAGCTGCTGAGAGGTCGATGTTGTTAGAGACAGGCTAGCTGTTTACCACTGCCTCCAGTCTGAATGCTAAGCTAACCGGCTCCTGGCTGTAGCTTCATAGTTACTATACAGACATTTACAGTATTTACATGTTTTTGGCAACCAATTTCTGAATAATGTCTACATCTGGTCAGTTCAATTATATCTTGACAACAGTACTGTGTTGTATCAGAATTGAGGCACTCACACCTACAATGTCAATATAGTCAACTGTACTGTATTTCCTGTTACAGATGTATTTATACAACATGTATACGTGTATAATTGAATGTGTTGTTATTGTGGGTCACTGTTTGTAGGTGTTTCTTTAAGAGTTGTCCACAGAGCAGCAGTGCCTTTAAGGACATCTTGATAACTACACACAGTGTGTATTCGTAACATGTCTATGATATTTCCCCACCTCAGTGTTCATTTCTTAAGCTCTAGTTGTTTTAGTTCAGCTTAACAGAATCTATTAACCCACTCTATGTTGAGTGTTGTATGTAAAGAGACACACTTTACTGTAAAATATATTGTTTATTGTTTAACACCATAAACGTACCAGAAGGATAGTAAAACTAGTAGAACAAGGTTATTCAATAAAATTAACTTTTTTCAATAAAAAATTTAATTTCTTAAAATTGCCATCTAAAGATTGATTTCAATAACCTTTTTCAAAAGATCAACACAGAGATATGACATTTACCATCAACTACACACAGCCGGCACATGTAGTTCTGCTGATCTAAAGCACAAACAGATTACACTAGACTAGACTATTTAACATTAGAGTGGTACAGAGTGAAAGAAAGGCAGGGTCCTGACAGAGGCGAACTGTAGATGTTGTCATTATGGGGGTAAATTCATGGTTCCACAAGAACTCTCCAAATCGTAAAGCAACAGATCAACATTTTGGGACACACATTGCACCTATTTACTTTCTTGTCCAGAGTTAGATTAGTAGGCGGGCCACTGTATCTGTCTGGTAAATGTACAGCTTACTTCTTGGCTGGGAGCAGTAAATTCCTGGAGAGTTGCAGGTATTTCCCAATATATCAAACAAGAATGGACTAAAACTTTCTACTAAATCGTATTTGCATTCACGTGGTGACAACTGGGTCAGAAGATGACAATTTAGCAGAAGTGTCAGTCTGTGGAAGAATACTTAAACATGTATTTTTGTTTTTAACAACAACAAAAAAATACAGAGCAAGTTGTTGTTGAGGTTTTGCAACACATAGGTTCAGCCTAAATTGAATTATATACTGCTTTCAACATACTGAACTACATGCACTAATAGTATGCAAAATTCAGTAAATTCTTTATGCATAATGTACTTAATCTGGCAAAGGCTACATTCCTGGTGGGTTCCTGCAATGCCAGGTAGTGTCAGTGAGACAAGAGCCAAACCATATACTAATACAATGTGCATGAAGAAGCAGATACCCAAGCATAATCTTTGTACTAAAAACAATTGCTATTATCCCATCTTTAAAGATACCCCCTCCATATCACATGTCGCTGTCAATCTACACATGAAGCTTTTTTTCAGCAATTTCATCAAAAAATGTACACAGATGTTTTTTCCAGAGAAACGCATCCTCCTTGATGTACAGTACATGTTTTTAGAATTTGAACCTTCAATTCTTATTACACAAAGTGACACAAGTGAAAGCTTAGTAAAACAGACCCACTCTCAGCCCAAAACATCATGAACACAGTAAAGTGTATGTATTCCCCCAATGCCAGTTTTTACATATTCCATACCTAGAAACCTTCTGCATGCACCCATTTATGCCTATTGTCGCTAATTTGCATCATGACTATCTGTTCTGTGTGTTATAGACAACTTAATAAACTACACCTAATTTAGTATCAAATGAGGTAATAATGAGAAATTTCATACTGCACAGCGAGCCAGCATATTGACGTAATACTCCTGCTATGAAAGGCACTTCAAGGAAAGTTCCCCACAGCAGGGTGAGGAGAGGAGTTGAGGTATTATTGTTCAATAAAAATATTGACTAAACCATAAAGCATGAGCCCGTATTCCTAGGAGCGTAGGGTTGACGTACTGGACCTCTTGCAATTTAAGTTGAATACCCCTGCTATACAGTATCTCACAAAAGTGAGTACACCTCTCAAATCTGTGTAAATATTTGATTATAACTTTTCATGTGAGAACACTGAAGAAATGACACTATAGAAGAACTCTCTGAGGAACTGAAAAAGAGTAGTTGCTCTACATAAAGATGGCCTAGGCTATAAGAAGATTACCAAGACCCTAAAACTGAGCTGCAACACGGTGGCCAAGACCAGAGAGCGGTTCAACAGGACAGGTTCCACTCAGAACAGCAGAACAGGCTTCGCCATGGTCAACCAAAGAAGTTGAGTGCACGTGCTCAGCATCATATCCAGAGGTTGTCTTTGGGAAACAGACGTCTGAGTGCTGCCTGCATTGCTGCAGAGGTTGAAGGGGTGGGGGGGTCAGCCTGTCAGTGCTCAGACCATACGCTGCACACTGCATCAAATTGGTCTGCATGGCTGTCGTCCCAGAAGGACGCCTCTTCTAAAGGCTAAAATGCAGTATAATATGTCCCCTTTAAGTTATAACATTATGTTTTAGAGAGAATTCAATATATTATGTTAAGTAAAGCTGATTCCTTCTACTCCCTCCTCCAATTAGTGCAGAAGTTGTCGTGCAGACACCAACATTTCATGTGGACTTAGTTGTGGTGTTAAGTTCAGTTTTTTCATCAGGGTTAAATCTGTATTTGTATCCATACGGCCGCAGATGGTATGTCAGGTACTCCAAAACATACAGCTGGACAGAATAAATGTAGTGAAAGGACACAACAAAATCTGAGCAGCAACCTGGACCCTGGAGGAGAAAGAGAGAAAGAAATACACTAGAAGTTAGCGCAATTACAATTCAGCCTGTGTGCTCAAACAGCAGGAAGCCAGAGAAGACTCAACAGGTTTGAATGTTGGATGTATACTATCAGCTTCCATACAACTCCGCCCACTCTGTATTTCCAGACTTGCAATTTAATACCTGACAGCTTTTTTACTCTCTTCACTCCTTTAAGGGTTCCAAAGCTGCTTTTATTTGTGAACAAGTAAAAATACAGGCTGGGTTTACAAGCAACTTCCAGTTGTCCATATTTCATTTTGTCTCATTTCATAACTTTTTGAATGTTTCTAATTTCATGGCCTATTATCTTTGAAAAATTGTAACACAAACTGCAGTCATCAAACATTTAACACTTTGAATTTCCTTGTTGTTTGCCTTACAGGAAAAGTTACAGGCATCTACCTTAAGAATATAATTATTCCTTCTCTTCCATCCAAGTCAGTTCCTGCACACACTTGTCACCTCTGTCTTGATTTATTTATTTATTTTTAATAACTAATGCAGAGGTGATAAGTGTGTGGAATTGTTGTTTTCTCTACACATTATGAGTAATGTCTCATGCAGGGATAATGGGCTTCTTACTGGAATCTTGAGACACTGCTCATTTCATGAGATTTCCTGAGACCAGACTAATCCAGATTCTCAACAGGAATTAGTGTACTGTGTTGCATACCTCTATTGGAGTGTAGTGGTCATAAATCAGATACCATGGCCTTTGTCTTGGGGGCTGTCTGACCAGGTAATGGTCTGGAGGATATGGGTGAAACGTTTGTCTCCCAATTGTGTCTCTGGAGTCTGCTGGCTGCACCTTCATTGTCTCCATACATTTCCCCAGAGCCATGTCCTCTATTGTAGAGAAGTGGGTACATTCCCCACTACTGAACCCTCTGATATATCTTCTCAGTGCTTCCTTACTGAGGACATAACCTGCTCCTCCACTCATGTATCCTTGACTAATGAAAGGGGTAAACCTTCTGCCCAGGTACAACGGCTTCTCTGTATCATATTTGGACAAGATGTAGCGTAGATTCTCTATGACCACAAACGTGTCATCATCCGCTTTCAGGAACCAGTCTGCTTCGTCTAGGTGGTGCTGGTGGATGTATTGAAAGGCTCGGATGGTCTTCCAGTACAGGTTCTCCCTTCCCTCGCTCACATTTAGCTCCACAGTGGGGAAGTCCGTCTTGATGGAGCTCATGTACAGCACTTTGTTGCAGCGCTTGGCCCATGTTTCCCTGATGTGCTTGGTTCGGGATTCCAAGTACTTGGGCCCCGTCATGATCCAGCACAAGATCCGTATCGAGTGAGAGGAATTAGCTGCTGAGCTCTTGTTCTCACCTTTAAAGGAATTTACAAACCAAGTATCAGTGTGTTACATGGACATTAGCTTTAAAACAAAGTTCAGTGCAGAGTCCCAGAAGCAACAAATGTCACTTGGCCTGTTGAGTCAAAAGTATGCCTGAACATGTATGTAGAGATAAGCAGGTATACTGGTTTATCTATACAGTAAACACTGATAAACATTCAGAACCCCTACAGAGTCTGTGCCTGTGAGTGGTCCCGTCTGGAGTGGGTCATGTTCCCTGTGTCTGCTGCTGCCTGTGTGCGTTCTGTGTGGAAGACGATGGAGACGCCAGTATGCTGTTCGTATTGAGCAGTGTGTGTGTGTTGGCTCGGGCGGGTTAGCAGGCTCAGTGGGTTATTCTGTGTTTATCAGGGTTACACCTTAGCTTGTGGCTGCTAGTGGTAAACATAACCTGATCTTTTTGTTGTGTGGCAAACCAGCCTTTACCCGTCTCCAGTATTTAGCGGGATGGTTTTCTGTTCTTTGTTCTTACCTTCTGTTTTGTAATAAATGTTCGATTTATCCTTGAACCATCTCACCTGTGCCTTGATTTTCCACCCAGTATTAATTTTTATTTGTTTGTCCCACATCAACTAGAAGGCAGGGACACAACAAATTTGGGGGCTCATCTGGGATTTCAAGTTGTGCATGATTATAATGCATCTTAAAGGGGCTATATGTAAGTTTTTGATTTTAATAAATCAAATTGTCATTGCCTTATTGTCAATGGGCTCAAAACTCACTCAGAAATGAAGCACATGCCTGTTTTCTCCGTTGCTTGCACCAGACACTATTCTGCTTTTAATGTGAGGTCTCCGGGTCAGATTCAGCCCTGTGTGCGCTCCCGAGCCTCTCACACTACAGCGACAACACGGCCGCTAATGACATGCAGTCCACTAACACCATAACGTAAGGATACAATACACCAATAAAGTTTAGTAAAGCTGGAGAAACAGAGAAAGTCTGTGCTAATGTTATCCGGTGCAAAGTTATATAACGTTAGCTTTCCACATTACTTCACAAACTAACGCGACCCATGTTACCATCCTGTGTACCACTGTTGATTTAGCCTGCAAGAAAGGATGTACAGCGAAAAGCAAATGTGGAACAATCTGTTTACTAAAAGTAGCCTATAGGGATGCAGCCAGCTAACGCTACAGTAGCTCGGACCTGCCGCTGTTTTCTTCGTAACGTTCAGTTTATGTTTATTGTGGTTTCACCAATACTCAGGTACACAGCTTATCTACCTCTCAGTCACAGCAGGTCAGTGCTGAATGCTCTGGTTTTTATTGCAGCCTACTAATTTAATAATTTCACACCAGCAGCTGTTTGCACTGTTTTGTCAGGATTATAGGAGCTAGCTACATTGGTGTAGATTGGTGTATGCGTGGATTGGCTCTGCGTCAAGCACGCATATAGGCTCCAGCACCCCAAGCAGCTTACTGCATACCATAGCTTCCAGGTCACCAAAAAAACCCAATGCAAAATTGAGGAATAAGATGTATACACTCGTATTTGAATATCTGATTCTGATCAAAGAAAATCGGATAACGAGATTTCTTTTCATTTTCCTTTTAATATCAAACCGAAAAACGAATGTTTTTTCATACATAGTGATGGTAATTAGGAAACGAGCCGTTTTTAGTTTTTGGTTTTTGGTTTTTTTCGTTTCAAAACTAAAATCTGTTGGCCGCAAAGTACACGGATCATTGTGGTATTTCTGTATGAAAGTGGTTGTGTTTCGGATTATGCTAGCTCATGAGTTCAAGCGAGCACGAGTACAAGCACACACCTGGTTGCAATCTTAGAACTGCATCGATAGTGGCCGCTGGAAACTCCATAATGCCCCTCAAACGTTTTGTTGCTAATAGTCAACTGGGGCGCAAAAAGCGCTTAGAGACGAAAACGTGCAAATTAACTGCAAAAAACTTGAGTAGAATTAAACGTGGAGCTACAAGGCACCCGTTATGATCCAGTGCCACCATATTCCAGGACAGCAACCTACCAGGAGTGTCCAGAAGTACAAGGTGCCAAGACCTCAGAGATCGTTATCACAAAGAAACACAACCACCACTGAATAAGATTTGCAAGTTGAAGAATCAGGATTGGGCAAAGAAATACCTGAAAACAGATATTCCAAATGTTTTATGGAAAGATGAAATGAGAGTGACTCATGATGGACCAGATGGACGTGCCTGTGGCTGGATCACCGATGGACACGACACCACTTTGACTCAGGCAGCAAGGTGGAGGAGGGGTACTGTTATGGGCTGCTATATTTGGACCTTTACGGGTTGAAGATGGACTGAAACTACAACTCAAAACATACGACCAGTTTCTGGAAGATACTTTCTTCAAGCAGTCACACAGCAAGAAGCCCTCAGTTTTCAAGCAGGCCATGATCTGCATGCAGGACAATGATCCATCACATGCATCCAAGTACTCCGCAAGCAAGGGCCTCAAAGATGCCCAAATAATGACCTGGCCTCCTTCCTGACCTGACTTGAATGCTATAGAGCAATGGTCAGCAATAGGCGGCCCGTGGGCCAAAGCTGGCCCGCCAGCAAAATCAACAACATCAACAGACCAAGAACCAGACAACGGCCCTGCCAACACATGGCCAGATTACTTTGATAGCAGCAAAAGAAAATAATGATATTATATCGCTGGTACTGAAATAGATATGTAATGATCCACAATTCCTATTAAAGCACCCACATACAAACACAGTCGTTAACGGTAACAACACATTTTAATAAGGGTTATTGGTTGCATTTGAAGTAATACGTTTTACATCCAATCAAAGTTAGGATGTTAACAAATCAGACAATGCAAAAGAAATTTATGGATATTCCCAAAGTTATGGTCTTGACTGGTCTTGAAATAAAATCCTGAGGCCGAGACAAGACCGAGTACAAATGCTGTCGAGTTCGAGACAAGACCAAGACCATCAAAAAGTGGTCTTAAGACCGGTTGTGTTGTGGTGGCAGCCCGGCTGACGGTGAGTGTCCTGGTTCTTTCTCCTTTTTATCAGTTTTTCTGCTTTTTTCCTTGGTTTTCTGTTCCCTGCCTGCCTCCCTGTGTTTTCTCCCCTGTGTGCTCTCTCTCTCTCTCTCTCTCTCTCTCTCCCTCTGCTCCTGAGCCCAGCCAACTACCTGCACCTGCATCTCATCAGCCACCTCGTCAGCCTGCCACACCTGCCAGTAATCAACCTCATGACTGCCTGTATTTCAACCCCGGTTCTCCACACCATCCTCGCTTGATCGTCGTTGCTCCATACCCGGTGGCACCCCCACGTTCAGGCTTTCATGTTTCTTGTTTTTTCACATTTTCCCTGTGCCTTGTCGCTGTCTTCTCTAACCCTGTCTCTCTGTCTGTTTCCCTCCCAGGTACACTCACCCTCGTCCTCCGTTCAGTTGGCTGGGCTCATCCACTGGCCCACTCCTCCTCGGACTTCCCTCACGGTGTCCTCCCTGTTCCCCCGCCTCTCCTCGCTTCCTCGGCCCCTGTGTTCCCCAGCTCCCTGGCCCCCTGTCTCCTTGGTTCCCCGTGCCTGTGTTTCCCTGTCATCCACCTCTTCCTCCACTCCAGTCCCTTTACCCCTTTCTCCCTCAATAAACCTCCTTCCCTCCGAACTTTGCATTTGGATCCTCTCTGTCCCCACATCACGCAATCCTACAACAGGTTGGCTTGAGTTCTACAACACTACCCAGAGGTTTGTTCAAAAAAATGATGGGCAGAGTGATTGAAAGATTGAAAAATTGCCAGTCAAACTATCTTCATTTCACAAACAGGTACTTTTGTGCTATAAACTCACATACACGCACAATTTCACCCCACAACAAATTCCCATCTGGAACAACAGATATGTGCTGTGTAACCGCAAATCTCTCTACTTACAGCATTGGATGGATACAAATATCTGGTCAGTAACCCATTTAAGAGATGATCAGGGATGCTGGCTAACTTATGAGTGCTTCTGCTCGAAATACAACATAGTTTGCACACCTGCCCAATTTGACAATATAATAAAACGGGATTCCTCCGTCAATTAAAGGGATAATCCAAAACATGGAAATACAAATGGCTATATTAAATCTACCCACACTCCAACTCAATGGTTGGAACTTCCTGGATGAGGGGTTTTCAAACAAATTAATTCTTATTCACCTTAATAATATACTCTTCCCAATTCGATCAAACAGAAACTCCATACTCCGGCTGTTCTCTGAATCAGATATTAAGAAATTTAGAACCAACTATATCAAGTACCCTGTAAGCCCCAAGACAAAAGCCATTTTAAGATTATGAGCAATACATATCCATCCAACAAGGTGCTAAGAACAAGATTCGGCGTGGATTATAATAACTGTAACTTTTGTGAAACTGAAATTGAAACAACTGATCACCTGTTTTTCCACCGTATGTATGTACTACAAAGCTATTTGGGAGGATTTACAGGACTTTCTCTCAACCAAAACCCAACTACTTACTCCTCTCACTAGAGAAAATATTGTGTTTGGTGGTACTATGAAGGACAATACAACTGACTTAATTTTGAACGATATTTGAATACGATATTTATGGCAAAGTTTTTCCTCCAAATGGAGGAAAACAAAGCCCCTTCGTTCTGTCTGCAAGCGGGACCTTATCGCCAATCATCTTTGTGCTTTAAAACGAATGAAAGAGAAACATGCAAGATCTCTCCTCCATGCCTATAAGGAGTTGAAGATGCTTGAGGACGCCTAGCAACCTTTTATTTTATTCTATTTATTTATTTATTTTTCTCTTTCCTTGTTATATATTTATTTACTTATTTTTTTAATACAATATAAGTTATTCTTTCTATCTTGTGTGCCTTGTATGCAAACTGAGAGGTATTAATGTCATGTTTTCTACTCCTTTAAACTGGAAATGAATCTTCTCAATTAAAAAAAAGTCTTCCAATCGTCTCATGTGATGCTGCTCAGCCAATCAAATCTGTGCATTATGATAAGCATTGCCAAAGCCGTTTACAGCCCTGACCATTGCAGTCGAGTCCGCGAGTTAGATACAGAGGAAGAGAGTAAACAAAGAGGCTTTTAACCAAGAATTACATGTAGGCCTACAGTACATTTTTCCCATTGGCAGTTCAAAACCAGAAAATCTCATACATCAACAATCCTAGCCAGAGCTCATGTTTCTCACTGAACAAGAGGAAGTAGGGAAGTGGTAGCTAGAGGGAATGAAAGAGAAGAGGAGGCATTAAAGCTGTTCATTTGTTAAGATGTGTTGAGTGTTAATTATAGAATCGGTTGAGATTGAACTTCAATCACTCAAAGCTACTCTTTTTATTTCATTTTTCTCAAATTGAGCAACAAATAAAATTAAATTATTTTAAGATGTACATTTCCAAAAACATTTTTAAATGCAACCTTTAGTTTACTTACTTTAGTTTACTTACATTTCGAATTAGAGTAGTTATTATTTATTATCCCTTCAGTTTTATGTGAAAGCTGACTTTTGTTTTATATTGTTGAAATAGTATCTGATAGTCTATGGATTTGACAGTCAGTTGTTGACTAAAAACATATGTTGAGAATATGTACAGAATGTACTTATTAGTGTGGCTGAAAGAGAAGAATAGACTGGAGAGGGAAGATTATGAAAACTCGAAGAGGGAGAGGGTCAGAGAGAGGGAGTATAATATAACTAGAACAAAACCGACTACATACCATAAAAACCATGGAACAGATGCTAGTTAATGTAGCCACAGTACAAATGTATTCAGTTATCCTAATATTACACTTGATGTAGCTGTCTGATATTTCCTGTGTCTCACTTGGACCTGACTCTTCCTGCAACAAATGTTTGTGAACACAGAGCTGTTTTTGATGCAAACTCTGATGACATGCCGTTCGAATAACAAAGTCTTTTTACTATGTGAGTTTTAGAATTTACTACGTCTACTAGCAATCCATACAACTCGTCCTCCTCAGTTATTTCTGCTCCTGCTCCTGTGACCTCTGACCTCTTCCTCTTAAAATACTGCAGGATGCTCATGTTCTCTGTGTGAACATTTTGAATACTTTTCAGTTGTTTATGGGCACATAGCAGAGACACATGCACACCTCCTGGCACAAGTTTTTTCACAGACGGAGGCCAAAAAGTGGCCCAGGAGTTTGTCCCTGGTCAGCCCGCTCTCCAGACAAAGCATGTGTCGGGGCCTCTGGGTCTTTAGAAACCTTTATTCCTGCATTCTTGAGAATTTTATGCAAGTAGAGTACATAACTAAATGAGCATTTAAAATACATTTTCAAAACTAGAATCATCCCTCTAACACTCCTCAAGTAAAGTAATCACTTCAGCTGAGCCCTTGAGTAGATAAATAAATAAGTCATATCATCATCATTATTACCATAAACTGCTGCTTTGACTCTGTTCTGCTGTTGCCTTCATCTCTGCTGTCTGTCTCATGTTCACCATGACAGCACTAGTACTGGTGCTGCTGGCCAGTGGCAGGTAGAGTACTCAAAATCTTTACTCAAGAAAAAGTACTATTACTCCCATAAAAAGTAAAAGAAAATGACAAACCTACTTCAGTAAAAGTAAAGGCTAATCATATATTTCATCTGCTGTTCATCAGGTTTTAAACAGCTGCAACAGGTTATTTCTAGGGAATGCAATTTGCTTTGCTGGCTGATTCTCTTTAGCTATTTCTGTTTTATTTTTTATTATTTTTTATTTAATTATTTTCCTTTTTAAATCTCCATGAATGTGTTGATAAGATCACTTTAAAATATCAGCTTGCTGCCCAGCCAACTATTGTTGCCTGTAAATTTTATTATGGACACGTAGCCAACCAAACCGCTTGCTTTGCAGCAGCACAGGTAGCCAAAACAATCTGATTATTCCTAAAGCATCTAAATAATCTTCTAAAAACGCAAAGGATTATTGTAGTAGTAACGCGGGAGCAGCTCGTTGTTGAAGCAGGGAAAACTACATATGGAGGAAGCTGTGCGTCATGCCTAAAGCCCAACAGGACTGTTTTATCCGCCATATTTTCTCTCTCTGTGCATCTCAAAACTGTTTCCTGAATGAATAACAGCTGGTAGCTGCTGAGTGAAGCCAAGATTCATTTCACCGGCGACATTCTGTGAAAACGAAGTTTTTCCTTGCCTCTGTCTCCTAGTGCTGCTCCTGGTGGGAACTGTTGGGCTTCTGTAAATAGCATCACAGAGTACGGTCTAGACCTGCTCTTTCATGAAAAGCGCTCAGAGATAACTGTTGTTGTGATTTGGCGCTATATAAATAGAACTGAATTGAATTTATCGACTCACTTCGCTATTAAACGGCTATTGAGAAAAAAAAGGCGAATATTCATCAAAATAAAGCGATGCTCTTTTCAGAATCAGAATCATTCTAGTGATCATTAGATTTGGATGTTACAGTGTGAAGTTTACGTTTGCTCTGCAGAGACTGAAGACGCTTCTAATGCGCCGTTAATGGAAAGTGAAAGTAGGCGCCGGCCGGCTTGTTAAAGAGCGACGCAGGCTGCTTTCCAACAGGCCACCAGTGCCACGGTGTGGCTCACTGGATTTCAGTCGTTTCAGTAGAACAATAAAGCCTTTAACTGAAAAGGTATTTGCCTGATTTTGTAAATGTTTGCATCTGCCCAGCTCATTCATATCTGTGATAAGCGCCCGTCTCTGTACCACAAAGGAGACCTCTTCTGCGTAACTGTGCGCACGCTGCCTGGCTGACAGCTCATTGGTTAACGAAGCCTATAGCAGATTACATTCTGGTGAAGTTATGAAGGTATGAATGGAAAATATAGCGAAATTAAAAGTATATTGCTGGCCCACAGAAAATACTGGAGTAAAGAGTAAAAGTAGGCTACAGTTTTAAAAAAGGAACGTGAAAAGGTGCCAATTACTTTTATTATTTTCTTTTATTTTGCTAATTTATGTTACAGGAAGACGATCTGAATCAGATGGTCTCATCACAGATCATAAAACGTCTTGTTCATTTCTCATTCAAAGTGAACCAGTGAAGTTTTTACATACATGCAAAGAAAAGTTCCATAGCCTATGTATCTCTATGAAATGAGTGAGTTAATGCCTATCCCTACATGCTACATCGGCTACATTAAACTTTTTTTAAAAATAAGGTGCTGACTTTTCAAGAAGAAGAAATATAACAAGTTATAATAATTCGCTAATTATTAGCCTTATTGTGATAATACCTTCTTATTCATTTTTTGATTTTAATTTTAGGCTGCTGCAACAGTATTGCCTTCTGCTCCCTTTCTTTTTATTTCCTCCTAATGTGTTTATTGTACCAAACACCAAGGCTGGCAAATTGGCAAACAGTGAAAACTTGCTTGGTAATAAAACAAACTGCTAAATATAAAAAATGAAGTAACAACAATGCATGTTACCGTAATAATGTATTAGTACTATTTTAAATGACACATAATGTTAACGTGATTAGTTGGAATGGTGTTCACACCAGAAGTGAACCGCTCCAGAGTTCAGTTGACAGCGGGCTAAGAGCATCGTCTCCAGGCGAACCAAAGTGCGGTTGTTTGATTTGCACCAGAGTTTGAGTTCACACCAAGCCAAACGAACTTTGCTTTTTATTTTCATACATAAAATATGGATATTTATGGGAAGGTCAGCATCCTACCCCCAGTCACTCAGGGAGGCTCAGTGAAAACTATGTGTAGGCTTGCTACTCCCAAGATGTAGCCTTCCATTATCAGAAATAAAAATCCGTGGCAGCCTACCTCTAATGCACATACACATGGAAAAATAATAGGCTGTAATAATACAGTAATAATAAAATAGCTGTTTATTAAAATCCATACATACCTGTGTCTACATGCTGTAAACCATGTTTGACTTCATGCTTGACATCCCTCACAAAATATTTCAGGTGATCTGATGAAAAGTTCAACAGAACGTTGAGCGAGAGAAATCCGACCATCAGTCCAGTGATGAAGATTAATTTAGACGTGTGCCTCATCCTCCTGGTTTAGCCTACCTGTCAGATGAAATGTGGAATTAAAACTAACAGCCTAATTAAATCACTAACTGTACGGTAACGCCTGGCATGAGGTAGCCTACTCTGCTGCCATGCGCTCTAAAATTCAACATTTGAAGGGTCATTTGAACAGCTGCCAGGACAACACTGACTATGCTTAATAAATCAGCTATGTGAGCGAATGCTATCAGAAATGATCCGAGCTGTCTGGATGAGGTCCAAGCCGCCGGTAGTTTCTATTTTTCCTTCAGGGGACTACAGAAAGCTCTGAACTGATAGACCACTTCAGAAACAGGTCTGGCGGATGTTGCGTTCCAGTCACAGTGGGAGGTCGGATCTCAGAGCATTCCAGGTGCACGGCGCCAAAGGTGAACAAAAAACATGGCTGAAACTGATGTTTCTTTGCCAAGTGTAGGACTCCACTCAGTTGAACTCTTAGTAGTTCCTTAGTTGTTTAAATGAAAACGAGTGTAATAACTCTGACAGTATCGGTGCTGTGATCTCAGACAGCTGCTTCTTCCCGAAGTCGGGGTAGATGCTCCGAATTCATAGGAACTCCGACTTTGAGTGGCCCTCCATTGCGGTTTTGCTAGTTGGGAGTCGGAGTTCCTATTTGTATGGAACGCAGCATTATTTAAACACACCTTGACGTCATGAAACTGCAAACCGAACAAAACGAGGAGGGTGATGGGGTAGGCTATTGTGAGTAGGCAACTTTACAGGTGCAACAGGCTCGTGACACAATTTCGAACAGGTTACTCTGCTAAAGAGTGTGGTCTCTAGAGCAGTGGTTCTCAAAGTGGTGTCTGAGACCCCAGGCAGTCCTTGAGGGAGACAGCAGGAGAACAACCAAAGGAGCAACAATTGTACAGGTAGGCCTACTAATAATAAGTCTCTATTTTGCTATAAGTGAACAGATAAAAATAATGACAAAATATATATTCACATGAGCACATAAAATGCATTAGAAATATACTGTGCTGGCCTAGACACATTTAATAGGTCTACAATTAAAAAAAATTAAATAAGATAAATAAAAGTTTAAAAAGTTGCTGTAAAAATAATTAAAAGCCAATTTGTAAAAATGAGTGTGGAAAATCATTTCATGTGTAGAATTTTCTCATAATTCACTTTATTTCTTGGCCCATTCCAAAACTATTATTACTACACTGTTAAAACTGTTACTTGGATCTAACTCAATAAAATTAAGACAACATTTTCCAACTATTTTTTTCAAGTTTAGTGAACTAACTGATATTTTGAGTAAAGACAACTTAATAATGTGAATTTCAATGTATGCAAAAATATTAAGTAGCATTTTCAGAAAAAGCCAATAAATTGAGTACTATCAATGTAGAAAATATCATCATTTTATACACATTAAACTTAATTAAAATAGGTAACTTAAATGAAAAAAATAAGTAGATAATGTTCTGATTTATTAATTTTGATCAATTTACCCTTTCCTTGTTTTGAAAGTGTAAATAGCTTCAAATAAATAGTTGCTACTATGTCAATTTCCAACATTTATTAAATCATTGCCTTATCCAAAACAGTAGCAATTAGCTGGACAGTATAAACATTGGTATTCAGGCATTCAAGAAAACACGCCCTCAGCAAATAAAGTGCAGGTTAGTGGAACACCTTCACAGTACAGTTCTGTGTACATAATGTTACAAAATTTTAAAATTAAGTAACAATTTACAAACCAAATTCAAAATGAGCTGGATAGTGTTAACAATCAATAACATCTATTCATGCATTAAAAAAAAGCATGACCTCAACTTATAAAGTGCAGGTTAGAAGAACACCTTCACAGTATATTTTACTGTGTGTACATACATAATATTAAAACATTTTAATATCAAGTTAACAGGCACTTGCTATTTTTCTAACAATTCACATGCCATATCCAAATAGTGGGAATGAGCTGGACAGTATAAACAATCAAGAATTTCTGTATTAAACAAAACATGACCTCAGCTTGTAAATAGTAGGTTAGTAAAACACCTTAAAAGGATAGTTCACTTCAAAATGAAAGTTCTGTCTTTGGTTACTGACATTCTTCAAAATATCTTCCTTGTGTTCAGCAGAAGAAAGAAATTCATACAGGTTTAAAACAACTTGAGGGTGAGTAAATGATGACAGAATTTTCATTTTGAAGTGAACTATCATTTTAACAGTACAGTGTGAACATAATATTGAAACATTTTAACACTAACATTACAGGTCACAAGCATGACCATCTGACCTCAACTTGGCATAAAACCTTCACAGCGTGTGTGAATATTTTGAAACATCTTTAGTCAAACATCTCACTGATCTCACCTACTGACCAGTTTTTAAAGTGCAGCTTCACAGCAGGTCTATTTTGTGTGTATAAAATTACTTTTTCACACCAGGAAGTATGACCTGTGCACAGTATAAAACATGACAAGGATAGACCATTACAACACCCTGAATGTCCAATTATGTCCAATATAACATTGGACATAACACCCATTATGTCCAATGTATAATGATGTTGAACAGACAAAGAAAACAGCTGTTCACAAGTGCAGTGACAGTCATGTCTGAGTGCCTAGGCAAGGAGTTCAGGGTCATGAAATTGGGGCTTGGTTTTGGGCGCAGTGTGTCAAGTCCCACGAAAAGTCTTTGAAACACCTCAAATGTTTTGGAAAGCTTAGATGGATACTCAAGATTAAGTGCATATGTCAACCCAAGCAGGAAGCAGCATGCTTTGGCCAGGTTTCCAAGATTGGTAAGGACTGGTATTGCCTCAATGACGATTCCTACTGCATCTGGCTCACGGCAGACATAGATGCTCATGTTCTTAATTTTCAGGTCCTCATGAACAGTGGTCTCTGCAGCCCCCTTTTGAGATACAAGATAAAGTATTTAAGACAAACAATCTCATTTATTAAGAAAAATAAATAAATGCATAAATAATCCACTATCTGCCAAATGCTGGTTCATTCAGTTCACATTAAAGGGTAACACTTGCCAAAATTTAACCTAGGCTATTTTTGTTAATCTACCAGAGTCATTCTTTCTTGTAAAAGCATAATTAGAATGGAAATGCCACTCTCAAGATTGACTTTTTTTCATATGAAGTCGAAATGCCTTTTGAATGGGAGTGCTAGGGGCACTACAATGATGACATAAAAATCACTATTTTTAAAACACTAAGAAGTCTCAACACAACATGAAACTGTACTTGAAGTGTCACCAGGGGCTCTACACATGGACTCGAGCATTGACAACATTGTGTACCATATTTTCCGCACTATAAGACGCACCTTCAATGAATGACCTATTTTAGAACATTTTTCATATATAGGGCGCACCGGATTATAAGGCGCATAAGATACTGCAGTCAAACGTTTGACTGGGTTTGCGTTATGCATCCACTAGATGTGCCAAAGGGAATGTAGCGGCGCCGGAGGTGAGGCGTTTTAGTAAGCGTGAGCGCGCTGGGGCTGGCACGTAACTTGCATTCGCAGCCTGACTCATGAGTATTCATGTGCGGCGGCTCGCTGATAGCAACAGCAGGCTGTTTGAATGAGACGACCCGGTTACTGTGAACAGGGAGTGCTTTATGAACATTCTGTGACGCGCGAGCAGCGCGGGGGACAGTGTGTCTGTTTGTGTGTCTGTTAGTAAGAGTGAGCGGTCGTGAGCGGGCACGTGACTTACACACATAACCTGATTTATACGAGGTTGAACTGGCCGTGTGACTGTTATGGAGTCTATGTTATTGTTTATCTGGTTATTATCCGTCAGCTGGTGTTTAGGTATTTTCCTGATCTCAGTTCTGTTCCAGTCTCGTGTATTAGTTTCCGTACCATCATGCTTGAGTTCTGTCTGTTTGCTAGGTGTCAATTTATGTTCTATGCCAGTTTCATTAATTAATCTGATTTTGATCATTCTGCTTTAGTCTCTGTGTAGCCTTTATTATTATTATGTGCTCTCCTTATCCCAGCTTCAGTCTGTATTTTTTGTTGGTACAGAAAAGTTAACACTTTAACAAATACACACCAATGCCTCTCCTTACAACCAAATTGCTGCTGCCTGAATCATTCCAACTGAGAGACACAAACAAACTCACTTTCTTTATGGGCCAGTATTTAATTTGACTTCATTTTTTTTAAATTCTAACTTCATGAAATTAACTTTATTGTGTGTGTCTAGGGAGTGTTTTTGTAATGGTAATTGGTAAATATCTTACTATCAAAGGGAATGAATAATTCTGCAGCAGTTTTAAAATGTGGCATGCTGGACGCATGTTAACACAAATGCACCAAACATGTGAGTGTGTTTGTCTACACCCATATCTGCTCTTCAGTGTATCTCCATGTTGTCATTTCCAATTACACTGACCTCTTCAGTTAGGCACAGTACCTGACTGTCAGCATACCAGAATAAATCTTTTCGAAGGTCAGGCCAGAAAAATTTGTTGATACCATTCCGATGTATGCCGTTCACATGTAGCAGCACCTGTCCTCTAGTAGCTGCAGGGGTTTTCTTCCCTCTGAATGCTTAATGCTTAATCTCTTAAGCATGTAGTTCTTGATGAAACGGTTCCCTGCTTGTCTTTTTGTTTTCTAGTGTTGTCATACCAGCTCCACCAGCTCCTCTCTCCCAACTCTGCTGTTCCCTCTGTTGTAATGAAATCGTCTTACGTATGTAACCCTTGTTCCCCGAGAAGGGGAACGAGACACTGCGTCGGTGACGACACTATGGGAACGCCTCTGGGCGTGGCAGGGCTGAACTATGAATGAAACTACTCCAATCCTATTGGCGTTGCTAGAACGGTGTGTGATGGCGTAACCGGAGGCATAAGCATGCCGGTACACAGGACACATTAGCCCTTTCCTATGAAGCAAGGCACTCCAGGCGGGGTGAGGTGTGGCGGACCGACGCAGTGTCTACTACCAAATTTGAGATGTACAAGGGTTACATACGTAACCCGAGACGGTCCCCTTCGAGGGAACTCGAACTGCGTCGGTGACGATACTATGGGAACGAGATACCCACTTAGGCCGCGCCGAAACCCCGCCTGCCCCCAGCATGCAAAAGCTGACGGCCCGACTAGGAGGAGAGCGCACGGGGGCCGGGTGCAGAAGGAAGGTCCAGACTGTAAACCGGATGAAAGTGTGAGGGGTGGCTCCGCCAGCCGCGTCACACAAATCCTGGAGTGATGCCCCTGCAAGGAGGACCCAAGATGCCGCCATGCCTCGAGTAGAGTGTGCCCTTATGGCCATAGGTGAAGGCAATACCGCGCACCTGACAGGCCAGGGAAATAGTCTGAACGATCCAGTTGCTGATGGTGTGTTTAGAAGCGGGAAGCCCAGCCTTGGGAGACCCGAAACACACCAGCAACTGGTCTGCTTTCCTCCACCAGGAAGACCTCAGAGTGTACATTTTCGGTGCTCTGACAGGGCAGAGCAGATGAAGTCTCCCATCCTCCGCCGTCACATGAGGTGGGGGATGACTCTGCCAGTCTGGCCGGAACCTTAGGGACGTAACCTGGACAAGGGTGCAGGATGGCCCTGACCCTCCCCGGGGCAAACTCCAGGCATTGGGGAGAAATCAAAAGTGCCTGGAGATCCCCCACCCTCCTAAGAGAGGTGATAGCGAGGAGAAAGGTTATCTTATGGGTCAGGCGCTTGGCCTCAGCCAACTCCAGAGGTTCAAAGGGGGCCTCAGCCAGCACTTTGAGAATTACTGCCAGGTCCCAGGTGGGAACCCTGGAACGAGTCAAGGGTCTCATCCTCCTGGCTCC